TCTGTTAAAGAGCAACTTGGAAAGAGGAGTCTAGATCCATTTTACATGACCACAAAGTAAAATACAGCATCTCCATCATCATTAACATCTCTTCTCCCACTTCGTCTTACCTTTGTTTTTATAGTTTTCAATGTTTTTACTAAGGATAATGATAATTGTTTTAGATATTTATTATTTTAGCTGTTGCACAAAGTCTAGAGTCATTTTGTTTTGTTTTGTGAGATGGGAAGCTATATAAAATGGGCAAATAAACACAGATAGAGTCTGAAGTGAGATATAACCTAGGTTCATATGCCTGCCACTCACGCAAATGGAGCTACACATGCCATTTCTGCCACTTGCATGGTACCATCCCTTCTCCCACTCATCCCCGCTGACAGTCCGTGTCTCATATCTATATGAGAAAAAGACTGCATGACTTTTTCTTTTTGCTTGCTTGTTAATGCAAGGAAATCCATCCAGGTAACCACATTTCTTTGAGTCCCAACTAAAGGATCTTGCTGGAAAGAGAAACAACCATCATGTTACGGTATTTGCAATAGATGGCCAGGACCTACCCTGTTTCCTCCAAAATAAGACATCCCCTGATAATAAGCCCAGTTGGGCTTTTGAGCGCATGGCAATAAGGCCAAGCGCTTATTTCAGGGTTCAAAAAAATATAAGGCAGGGTCTTATTTTTGGGGAAACATGGTAATTATTAAAAACATGTCTAAAAAAAACCAAGCTATTTTTTTCTTATACAAAAGGGAGTAGAGTCTTAACAAATAGGAACCCTTAGCCATTCTTGGCTTGCAGCTAATCAAGATCAGCCCTGTTTAGTACCAGGATGGGAATAAGAGTTCACCTAAACTAACATCCCACCTTCCCCGCCCCAAAACAAAAATCTTCCTGGAAGAAGACAATGGCATCCCATAATGCCAAAACTCTTCCATAGTGCATCCAAGAAAGCAGCATACAGCTCATCCTAAACCTACGATCACAATTGAGCCCAACATTTCTGTTGTTGGGCAAGACAGTTATTAAATGGGTTTTGCCCCCATTTTATGTCTTTTCCTATTAAGTGAATCACTACAGTTGTTACATTAGTACCATGATTGTTAAGTGAATCTGGCTTCCTCATTGACTTTGCTTGTCAGAAGGTCACAAAAGGTGACCACCTGACCCTGGGACCTTGCAACCATCATAAGCACGAACCAGGGGATGTTGTAATGATTGTAAGTGTGAAAAACAGTCATAAGACACTTCTTTCAGTGCCATTATAACTTTGAACGGCCACTAAACAAATGGCTGTAAATCAAGGACTACCTGTGGACGCTGTTACCAAGAGCCCCTCTAAAATGGGTGGTGTCTTTACTTAATGGAAACAGACATTATTGGAGGAAGGATGCTCATTTTACAAGTTTTTTTAAATGTTGGTTACAATAATTACATAAAAGGAAGCCAGGCCATCAAAGAACAAGGTGGCTGGACACTATCAAAGTTGACACCAGCCAGAGCATAGAAAAACTCAAATAATTTGTGCAAGAGTGGAAGTTGTGGAGAGAGCTGGCCCATGGAATCCCCAAGAGTTGGATTAGTCTAGATCATTGGTGGGTTGCCCCCGTTCGCACCCGTTCTATAGAACCGTTAGTTAAACCGGCGGGAGGCTCCGCCCACTGACCCTGACATCATCAAAATGCTTCTGCGCTTCTGTGCACAGCCACGTTGTGAACCGGTAGTAAAGGTAAGTAGAACCCACCCCTGATCTAGACAAGACTAGACGAGAACAGAAACTTGTTACTTTAAGCATACACTAATCAGCACATATTAAAATGAAATTTTGTTGCATTCAGCTCACAAAAGATAACCATTATGCATATCTCCTCATACACACATATATATATTGCAGAGAAACATCACAGTCAGTGGTGGGTTCCTCCCAGTCCGGTTCGGCCGAGCCAGTAGCGGTGACGATATGACGTCACCGAACCAGTTCTGCCCCCCCCCGCCGCCCTCCCACCCCCCTCCACGTTATTCTTACCTTTTATTTGGTCCCACCCCAATCTATTGCTGCCTCCTGAGTCCCAGCTGATGACTAGAGGGGAAAAAAACTGTTTAAACTCTTGCCGCAGGGCTTCAAAGAGCCGTCCTCCAGCTGATCAGTGTTAAAAGCAAACAAATGAGTTGGGTCGTAAGTGAGAGGACTGGTCGTAAGTGCGAGGACCTTCCAGAAATGACTCTGACCAGCTAGCCACGCCCACTTAGTCACATGACCTCCAAGCTACACCTACAAAATAAGCCACGCCCACAGAACCGGTAGTAAAAAAACTTAGAACCCACCCCTGATCACAGTCTAGTTTGGATGTATATGTATACATGTCAAAAAAAAAAAAATGAATCCTGCAAGTTTACAAGATGGATGGCATAAGGAACAAAGCTGTTACAGAATCTAATAATCCTGCAATAGATACTTCAAAGCCTCCTCCCAGAGGGGAGCAACAGAAACAGATTGTGTCCTTATCAGTCTCTGTATGGACTTTCTATCTGAGGCACTGCTACCACCAAGCCAAACAGTGATGCAGTTTGTTAAAATGGTCTCAATCGTGCCTCTGTAAAAAGTGGCCAGGACAGAAGGAGAAAGATATGCTCTTCCCATCCAATGCAGGAAATGCAAATGCTGGTTTGTACATTTCACTAAAAGTGATGTATGAAGAGACCAAGTCTGATTGTTAGTTACGGATAACTTCATATTCACCATCATCATCACAATAATGACAAGGATGAGATATACACATCTGTTCCAGCCTATACTTGGAGCTAGTTTACCTTGCCAGAACACAGGAAGTTGCCTGGATAAATGTGACATTTATAGCATGTTAATTCATTTCTGCTGTCAATGATTAACATAGCTGCTTCATGAAAAATTGTACTGATTCAATACTTGAGGAATAGGGCTCCCTGAAAATATTTATTTCAGGTCTGTTGAACATTGTACTCCAACAAAGAAGACTTGGGATTTCGTAGATGCTTAGGTCCTCAACATAATGTCAATTATGGTAAATGAGCAGCTTTGAAAGACAGCTGGATCATCACTCTCTGCTAACGTTCCCTTTCTGGGGATTTCCTGTCATTTTTCATTTCCCCTTTGATAAATACAGAGCGTCTAGAAGAGCAGGTTAAGTCTCCATTTTCACCATAAGGGGGAACCATTGGCTTAGGAATGAAATGGCTGGTCATTGTAGGAATCCTATTCTCAATGTCTAAATGAATTTGGCAATTGCTATTGCTACAGATATATTCCTCGCACATGAAGAAAAAAGAAGTTACACAAATATAAACCAAAATTAAAAATGGCTGCTGTTTGAATTGTTTCGAGTTTCATACAAGGCAAAGAAAGAAATTCTATCAGCAAAATCTAAGTGTGGGAGGGGGGAGAATGTTAGGTTTTTGAAAAAGTGAGGTAAAATTTGCCCTGTGATTTAATAAGTTCAAGATGGGAATGTAACATCCCCAATGGAATATAAAGCTTGTTTTTTTTACAAGGAAGGCATATCACAAAGGCGAGAAGCTGGAATGCTTTTTTAAATTCTGCTTAAAATACCTTCAGCCTTATGTGTAAAAAATACAGGAAATATTCTCTGTTTTTGATTTTCAGGTCCCAATTAGCCATTTTATTTGAATGGAGATTTGTTTTGAAAATGGATAACAAAAGGAGATAGGGACACTCACCTTTTAAAAATCCTCTAAGATGCCATTGTTAAATGGCTACTCCTATTTTTCCCCCTAGTTACACCTTCTTCCTGGATTGATCATTCAATCATCACATGGAATCTGTATAATTCGGGAGAAGGGCGGTATAGAAATTCAATAAATAAATAAATAAATAAATAAATAAAGTCATGATGCTAAACCATCAATTGGAGTTGACCATGCAATGATGTCACCAATGGTAATTTAAAATAAGGCTAAATCAATATCAATTTGCTCTTATTAAATGGCCCCAAAACTAGAAAATAAAAATGTTTTGGCACTGCCAAAAATGTTCACAAAAGCACCAAGTTGATTTGGCTATCCGTGGTTGATCATACAGTCATTCATTCTTAACGTAAGAAATGTTTATCCAGTAAATTTAAAGAACAAGCAGCTTTTGACTAACAAACTATTCCATCCATTGTGCTATCATTGATTGGTAGCTGTCAACATTTATTAAGACAAATGGCTGATTGTTCACAATCAGCCTGAATGTCCATGTTCAACCTTCTACAGCCCTAGATATCTCCCAGTGTCCTTAATAATTCATCACGTCTTTAGTAAATGTTGACATTTAATCATTTATTGAATGCAGGTTGTGGTTTTTAAGAGTTATCAGAAAGCCTGTTGGACATCAAGTCAATGGGCTTGCTTTGGATGTTTACCAACATGTCTTGGCAAGTGATAACATTCAACAGTAAATAATGATAACAAAATGAACTATGGAAGAGATGCATTTTTTATTTATTATGTCGTTCATTTATTTTGCAGGTAGGGAGGGGTCCCTGCAGCAGGAAGAGGCAACCCTGCAGACTTGAATCTTGGCTGTCCAAAGTCTGATTCAACTAGGCATTTCTGATTCCCCTGAGAGCTTTTTCCATGCATTGATTTACAAGCCATATCACTTTATTGCTAAGTCTGGGAAGAGTCAAATAAAGGAATGGAAGTAATTAAAAAAAAAGACAATGAAAAACTTAATGGAGTAATTAATTCAAGAGAGGGGTGAAATGCACAAAAATAAAAAATTGTATCTTGATACATTTGTTCTCTGAATATTTTTTCCCCCTCATCTGTCTGGCTGTGTCTTTCCAGCTGCCCAAAGCACAATTGGAGAGGGACACTCAAGTTCAGCCAATCCCAAAAGGGCAGGGGAGGGACTAGTGCTTGCCTCATTTTCAACTCATGGTAAATTACAAAGACCCCAGGGATTTGCTGGGATCTACATTCCTAGCCATTGATCTGGGAATAATTAAGTGAGAAAGAGGGAGGAGGAAGAGGAGGAGAAGAAGAAGAAGGGGGGAAAAGAGGAGGGAGAGAAGAAGGACCAGGAGATATCTTCACCTTTCAACATCCAGGAGACAAGAAGGAGGAAAAAAGGAAGCTAACAAGTGAGAAGGAACAAGCTAACATAAAAAAAAAAAAGATGCAGAGTTGCCCAATTGAAATATGGTAAGTTGTTTCTTTGCGAAGTCATGTCAAGAGCAATGTGTGATGCCACAGAGGTTGATAGCAATTTGCAGAGCACCATTGGACTTAGTGTCCACCTGAATGGGCCAAAGTTGAAAATCTGGATATACTAATAATGTAATAATAAGGTATAAAGCAGTTTGGAGCTAGGAAAGAAACAATGTTAATAGAATGTATAGACAGAATCAATTTTAATAGAGAGATGCTCCAGATAATAGGCTGAAACAATGAGATAGAAGCCAAAAGAAATTTATCTTTATTAGGTGAAACGTAATGAGAAGAGTTGAACAAATAATCAATGTGAGGTACAACCTAAAGAGTTGAATGTATGAAATATGGCAGGATGAGAATAATAAACTATATTTGAGGAATAGGGGTGCTCCTCTCATTGGAGACTTGGAGTGGCTCCAAAGACAAGAAGTTTTAATGTTGCACATTGCTTAATTTTAAGATGTAATTAGTCATTTATTGCTAATAGATTTATAGAGTCTAACTTATTTTTTTTATTGTAAAGCGGTCACCTGTTCAGTTAGAATTATCTGGACTTTTAATATGTCTAATTTTTTTATATTGCTCAATTCTACCTGAATTTATATTTTATTACTATTTTGTGCTTAGTTCTAAATATGATATAAATGTTAATAATGGCATATTTATTAGCTATTGCTGTTCATTGGACTGTCAACCAGATTTTTAGACCGGATTTGGCATTTTTATTCATCTATGGAGTTCTTCCCAAGAGATAAGCAGATGATGTTGTTTGATGGTGTTAAAGATGTCATCATAAAATTAATGTTATTAATGACTATTATTATCTGTATAGTCTGTAAGCATAATAATTAATGATTAATCACTAATATCAATCATTATGTATAAAATAATAATTAATTAATTATAATTAATTTTATAACAATTATTATTAGAATTAGAGTAAATCAGAAAGTATCAAGATCTGAACACTGAAGTTGAAAGATTATGGCATAAACCAGCCGTGATGGTCCTAGTGGTTATTGGCACACTGGGTACCACACCAAAAAATCTTGGATAAGATTATCTGTGCATTTACAAAATCTCCATCGGCCAATTGCAAAAGGTCATATTAATTGGTTCCCCAGTATGCCATACCAATATATTACAACTTTCTAAAATCTTGGGAAGAACTCAGTGGGGATGAAGGCCACCACCAGCTAAAAAATAGGAATTCACATTGTTATGAACAGATAATAATAAAAACATTTAGAGATATATGTTTCTTGAGTTAATTATGTAACTGGAAAGGGGATAGAGAAATACAATTCAGCAGTGGGGGACAGAGGGAGGGAAGGAGGAGAATAGAGAAAGCAACAGCGAGTTGCATTTCGGAATAATAGAATAACAGAGTTGGAAAGGACCTTGGAGGTCTTCTAGTCCAAAACCTTGCTCAGGCAGGAAACTCTATACCATTTCAGACAAATGGTTGTCCAATCTCTTCTTTAGAACTCCCATTGTTGGAGTACTCGTTTCATTCTGGCTTACAAAGATTAAGAGAAATTTGCACCCGCTGCATTGCCATTGACATGTTCCCATCTTAATTTGTTTTCATCTTCTATATTCTTCTGCAGTGAGGTGATATGTTATCTAAAGCCTCAGAAAAATGTTCTTGAAATTGCCCTTGCCTATTATCTGGAGACTTCAGTTATGGTGACATGGTGTACAAGTTGCCAGATAATGTTGCTAATATTATCACTCTTGCTGTTTGTTTATTTATTTATTTATTGGTTCGATTTATATGCCGCCCTTCTCCAGAGACTCAGGGCGGCTTTCAATGCGTTAAGCAATAGCCTTCATACTTTTGTACATACCTGCTTAGTAGGGCTTTCGGCCTCCCCTAAGCGGTGTTCTTTTTTATACAAAGTCAGCTTATTGCCCCCACAATCCGGGTCCTCATTTTACCTATCTCGAAAGGATGGAAGGCTGAGTCAACCTTGAGCCTGGTGAGATTTGAACTTGCAGTAATTGCAGGCAGCTGGTGCTACTTAACAGCATTTTAGTCTGCTTTGCCACCAAGGCTCTTATCTTATGTTATTTAATTTCTTAGCACAAAGTGACTTATTTATTTTTATTGTATGATAAATGCTATCCCATCTTTTTGATGCCTACTCATTACTCATTCTTCTAATGTTGGCATATGTTAGTTCCTGCTGTTAAACACCCCCCAACCCATCTCCAAGAGTTTAATCCTTCTGTATTCAAAGCCATGCACGAATCTTTCCAAATGCTGGATTATCCCTTCTCCATGGTCCTCCAAAGTTTGAGGTGTGACAGATGGCAATTGTCTCTTGTTTCGATATTCAGCTGCGGCATGCTCTCTCTGTGAAATTTCACCTGGCATCGGATTTTTGATGCTAATTGCAGAACTGTTTCATTGCCCAGGCCATTAAGTTAATTAAAAAAATTCTTTCAGGGCTGAGATTTCTCTGGTGCTGCAATTTTCATGCATTGGATGTTAGCCAGACTCTATTTTAAATTGCTAGCAGTCCAAATAAAGAAATATGTTTCATTCAGAAATGCAGTGATAACAAAGATCACCAGCATTTTGTTTTCTAATCTATGGACTACTTTATTCAGACTAATAATCTTGATGTTAGCCACAATCATGAATACAAGTAGAGGATTAGGAGTCCTATAGGCCAGGGATCCTGTTGGAGCAAAGCTCGAGGTATTCCTGAAACCAGTGGCCAGACATGTTATTTTTCTGCCCAAGCAGAGGTGCTTAATCTACCATGTGGTTCTCAGATGTCAGATTTGATTATCAGTTGTAACTAACTAGAAAAATGAAGAATTGTTTATTGCCTTTGGAAAGAACCATAACAACCAGGGAGAAGAAAACTCAGAAGATGGACTTGATCTCATGTTAGATTTTGTTGCTGTGAAGAAATTTTTTTACTTCCTCTGGTTTATAGGATTGAATTCCTAGATGACCGGAAGTTGTTGAAAGAATTTGTGGCTCTTTTTATTTACTTAAATCCTTTGGATTTATTTGCAATCATCTAAGCAAAGGACTAGGAAGAATCAATAGATAGATAAAGATGCTGTGTTTGGTCAAGGGAATTGGTAAAATTGAATTGGATGACATTTGCATCCTCTCTGAATAAGAGTTCACAGGAATTACGCACAAAATAGAACATTTAGGTTTCTGCTTTGTCAAGCCAATGTTTTAAAACAGCTAAAAGTTACTTGTTTTCAACATAAAACGTATCTCTTCAGTTTAGACTTTCTTGAAGTAGGCTTATAGGTCTCGGCAATATATGTCTTGGCATTTGCTCACATCAGGTTTCAGAGTTTAGGACCAGTAAAAGGCTATTCAGGGCCCAGTTTCCTTAAATATTATTTCCAGGTATTATAAGAAATTTTGGAACAGTTGTTTTTGAATACCAACAGGGCCACTGATCGATCATAGAGATATTGTAGTTTTATTTTCCGCTCTGTCACCACTCAATCTGACTTTCCATCATGTCATTGAAAAGATTAAATCACACTGTGAAACCTCTAGATTTGAAGGTTGAACTCCACTACAGGTAGTCCTCAATTTATGACTGCAATTGAACCCAAAATTTATGTTGCTCTGTGAGAAATTTGTTAAGTGGATTTTGCCCCATTTTATGAGTTTTCTTGTCACATTTCTTAACTGAATCGCTGCAGTTGTTAAATTAATAACATGGTTGTCAAGTGAATCTGGTTTCCTCATTGCTTGTCAGAAGATTGCAAAAAGTGATCACATGACCCCACGATACTGCAGCCGTCAGTGTCAAGGATCCAAATGAAAATCATATGACCATGGGGATGGTGCAGCTGTCATAAGTGTGAAAAATGATCGTGTCACTTTTTCAGTGCGATTGTAATTTCGAACAGTCATTAAATGAACTGTTGTAAGTGGAGGACTACCTATAAATATTTGCTTCTAAATCTAGGAAATGATTTGTCATGGTCTGTCAACTTCCTAAAGACATCTAACTGACCTAGTCACTATGAGAAACACGATCCTGGAATACTTAGAACTTTGATAGGTTCGTGTAGGGCTTCTCATCTTTCAGATAGCATATCTGACTAAGGTCTTTGAAGGAACAAAGCAACATTTGATGGATGGATGGATGGATGGATGGATTTGTATTGACCAGTAAGATGAAGGAACATGATTACAGTTACAGATTACAGATTTCAACTTTGGAAGACCTGAAGGGCTAGGCTGAGGTCATATTATCCCAGAGAAGGACTATCTATGTGGTAGTTAAGAGTGCTCCTTTTTTTTTTTTAGTGTACAGTGATGTCATCTGCTAATGCACCATGGTAATTTAGAATTTGTCTTTGCTCTGGTAAGCTTTTTGGACTGGATTTTGTTATTGATTTATCTACTTGGTAATTTTTGATTTGACACCCTCACAGAGAAAAATAGTTAATCAGGAAAATAATTGTGAGACAATCATGTACTAGTTTTGTTTGTTCAGTCCTATTTCATTGGCTAATCATCTTTTGCTAACGTTCAATGGAATTATTAAAAGCTGCAGAATTAAAAGCAGTGATTCCAAGAATACCAAGCAACACCAAGAACATTTTTAAAATACTACCCATTGAGTTTAGTCTCATTCACTCCCCAGGATTTTAGTCAAAAATATTTTCATTGAATACTTCTAATAACCTTTTTTAATCCCAATCACAAATTTTGCTTCCTGACCCCAAGTTAATTTTTCTGATAATTTACAAATTCTCAAGGGACCTTGTTCCAGAAATGTATGTATGTATCAGAAATATAATAATTTCTCTGACTGGTCAGAAATGTTGTAGATATAAAAATGAATCGATGAGGTTTGAAATAAATGGGATTTATTTCAATACTCAGAGGAGTAGACTGTAGTTTGGATATCATCAAGGCATTACCTGCTCCTATGTTAAAAATGTCCTCCACGCATCCTTGAATCAGTAGAAGACAATCCCAGCATGATCTT